CTCCTTATTCCTTGTTATTTTCATCAAAGCTTACCCTCATCCACTTGGTCAACTTTGCCAGGACTCCCCCTGCTAACCCCACTTGATTGCTGACACTGAGGACCTCCAACCAATAAAGAAATAGGTTTTTGATGAAATAATCCAATGGTCCATATGTCCCCTCATCACATTTGGTCTTTGTAAGGTGATCCACCCAAAAGTAGCATGAATACGAGAGGTGACCTGGTATGTATCTCCCTACTCGGGTTTTAAGGTCCACTACATCTCTGTTCCGAAGATGTGAGTCTTCTAATTGACATATATTGAACTTGAGTTCTCTTTTCATTGTATGGAGGCAAGAAAGTGCAAGTTCTTGACTATGAAGGTCCTGGTTGATCAGGAAATGTGAGTTGCAGTCATTCTCATCAAGTACAAAGTCGACAAAGGACTGATGAGTGAATCTGAGTAATCCTGTCGAGTCTAGAACAGACTGTAGCCCTGTGCATATATAATCCACTGTGGTTTCATCCAGAGATAATAGACATGTGAGAGATGACATAGATAGTGGTGCTTTGGCCATGATTATTGTCCCAACAACTGAACCAAATGCCACACCTATGTCATCTGGATTTGAGAATGATGTGTGTAGGATGCGAGAATAAAGCCCTGATAGGCCACCACCACCTTTTCCTTCCAAGATCTGTGTCAACCTGCTCTTTGGCTCACCTCCTTGAATGAATCTGATTACTGTTTCCGCCCAGATGAATAGCCCCCCAGCCTTCTCTGTTAAATCTTTGATCACTGGTGGTCCTGGCCATCCTGTGGGCAGTGACCTTCGATGTTGCACTGCAATAGAAGCAAATCGATCTTCAAGAAATAATTGAATGTCATTAAACGAAGACATGGTTGTCCTTTCACCAGCCAAAACTTCGATGGCTTGATGATTGATCTCTGAAAGGAGATAGTCGATATCAGATTCAACTCGACTTGTCAAAATAAGTTTGAACTTCTTTGGTAGGTCAGAGAATAGTTTGATTGTTTGCATAAGTCTCCTCCGGTCTTCTGAGTATGTCCCCTCCAACCCTCCACATTCATCCAGGGCATCAATCAAAATGACTGGTAATCTTGTGGTATGAATATTTTTGCTTGCCAATAGCGGTTCTTGTACGCAA